TATTATTATTAGTATTTGAAATAGCAATTTGAGTGCTTTTGCTTTAACAATAATTCCAAATATAACTGTCAAAGTAATATCAAAATGATCTATGTATTTAGAGTGTATTTTGATTGTATTACAGGATAATTATGTTATAACAAATTAATAGACTTATTTTTTAATTATATAAAATTTATGAAATATTTATAAAATTTACTACATTAATTTTTTTTAAATACTATTAGTCTTTAGTTTAGATTGATTTTAATGTTAAAATCTTACTTTTGTATGTGTATATATATATACATATATATATATATATATATATATATAGAGAGAGAGAGAGAGAGAGAGAGCCACTCAGGGGACACCTCATTTTTACTTTGTGAACAACCCTCTCCCCTCTTATGCCACATATTAAATTTGATAAACTGATAAAACGAACATTTATTATTTGAAACTATGACTAAAGACTTTTGTAGTATGTTTATTATTTTGATTTTAAAATAAATAAACTCAACTATGTTTTAAATAAATATTTTTTCTTTTCTTTTTCTTTTGCATTTTCATTGAACTTGTGTTTTGTTATTTGTTTATGGATGTCAACATAGCTTAAAAAATTTATATTGAAATTCAAATAATTAACATAGTACGAGAAAATTTAGAAAAAAATCCAAATAATAACCATTCATTTTATTTATTCATTAAATCATTGTGTGTAATTTACTGGTGTCCTTACACACACACGAAAAAAAAAAAGAAAAAAAAAAAAGAAAAAAGAAAAAAAGGTGTCTATCTAGAAATTCCTTATATTTATTGGTCAATTCTGTCTATGATATTTCTATGAGTATCAATTATTAAATAATTCATTAAAACAAAGAAAAAAAGAAAAAAAGAAAAAAATCATTATGAAACACATAAAATTACTCAATAACATATATATATATATATATATATATATATATATATATTGTTCTTTTCTAATAAAATAAAATAAATTTAGACAGAGCTGAATAAACTAAATAAATCATAGTTCAAAAGAAAAAATTAAAAAAAAAATGATTATAGCAATAGTTTTTTTATGCATGTATACTTGTATACAACTTGTTAAAATTTATTAGACACTTGTTTGCCTGAAATTTATGAAAGGTAAAAATTAAAAGTTACAGACCTGTTTGTTCATAAATACATACTAATCTTTTTTTATAAATCTACATGCATCTAATCAACCATATAAACCATTGAATTGACTTAAAAGTACTTACAATAGTGATTTTATTGCAACTGAAAAAAACAATATTTTACAGAAGAGAGAAGCAAAACAAACTTTGTACAGAAGAATAATATGCATTTTATTAGCTAATATTTTTTTTGAAAATTATTTATAATTTTATACATGTCTATTTGCATATTAAATTTATATCATATATGTATATGTATATATATATATATATATATATATATATAATATCCTTTTCTAAAACTTTATTTTCATTTATTTTAATTGCATGACTTTTTAAAATGGTTGATTTCTTAGATTTGTACAAATAAAATTGTACGATATTTATAATTTTAATAAAGAGGCTTAAAGCACAAAAATTTGAATAAATTCAAAGATTTTTTGGAAGTATGATAAAAATAATAATTATAATGAGAATATTAATATGAAATAAACCATTAACATATTTGAAATGAATATATATATATATGAATTAATATATTGAGAATTTTTTCGAGTGAGTGACAAGATATGGTGGCATTAGGAAAAATAATAGTGACATGAGCAACACCATCTATATAAATTCATATGCATTAAGTGTAACAATTAATTATACATTTTCTTGGAAATCAAAACCTTAGAATTGATTAATTCTTAAATTATTTTAACGTGCATTTGATAAAAAAATATGGTATTTAAATATTATCAAAAAAAAAATCACATGGTATTTTTCTTTTTTGTTGATTCTATTATTATGAATGTGTGCTTGAAAAGAAAAATAAATAAATAAATAACAAGAAAAAAAATGTCATTGTGTGAACTCCTGGATAGCTCTGTAAAATACTCAGAGTAGTTTTGTAAGAGAATTGAATGGAATCAGTATTGAAGAGAAAAATCCACAAAAATAATTGTTTCTTCTGAAAGGTACAAGTACAAGCAAGAGCTGAGTTCATGCAAGTAAAGACATTTATTTCAATCCTGTACATTGAGAAGAAGAAAATTGATTAATTATTAAATACAGATGTGTAGTAAATCATGGCTCATGAGTTTTTCTTTTTTCTTTTCCTAATGCCACCCAATACTTTTATTTGTTTTGTTTTTGATATTTTTACATTCAGGTACTTCATTCTTTACCCTATCATGAAAGTTTCTTGAATCAGCAAGTTGCTGGTAACTGAAATGAATATTGTAAAATAACTATAATTATGTATATAGCTATATATTCAGCTAATACCGTATCACTAAAAGAAGAAGAAAAAATAGCATATACACACAAAATAGGACTATTTTATATTATGTTATGCATTGAAAAATCATAGTCATTTTATTTGTTTGTCCATGTGCAAACAAGATATCAAGATGTCAAGTAGCTCAAACAAACAGCTAATTATATTCTATTGAAACTTCAATAAATATTTGAGGGATTTGTGTACATAGATTGAGAATTTAATTAATGAAATCATGAATATATGCCATAAAGCCTCAAGTCCAAGGCTCTCTTCAAACAAGTAGTTATTTCAAATATACGATGGTTGCAAAATCAATCTACATGTTTTAAATGAAATTCTTAACAAATCCTGCTGTTTAATTTTTTGAACAGGAACGTTTGTAATTATTTGAGAAGGTCTTATAAAGATTTTAAAAGTGAAAGATTATATTTATATATATATATATATATATATATATATATAAACTAATTTCATGCATAAAATTATGATCGATTAAATTATTAAATTTACTCTGTTAATTTTCAAAAAATATGAAATATGAGAATCGTATCAATAGTATAATTTCAACTTGAACGCCTTAAAATATTACCTTGGTTAAAACTCTTTTTTGGTTTATCAAGTAAATAAACAAATGAATAAAAAATTGCAATACCTAGCAAGATTTTCTACAAGATATCTGAAGATATCTGAAGATTTAAACGCCTTTTCATTAGTTATTTTTCGAAATAATGAAACACACTTTCAAGGGAGTTATTTTAGTCAAGGGAGTTATTTTAGGGACTGTGACCCAAATTTTTTTAAAAAAATAAAAAATAAAATCCATGTAGACATGTATTGGTTTTATTGAAATTTATGAAACTTCAAAACATGTACCCACATCATTTTATGATTAATTCTTTTCATGGTTTATTGCTGCCATGGCTCTTTCCTTCATAATGAAATATTTGGTGAGTTGTACATCAATCATATTCTTGCATTGTTGGAAGCACACATTGGTCACATGCATTGTTCCCATGGCAAGTGCACAATATATCCTCCATGTTCCCCATTGCCACTTCAAGGTTCCCATGCAAGTTCTAATGCCCTTGCCATGTTCACACACATACTTACTCTTGTATGGCTCACCATTCTCTGTCTTCTTCTCATATCATGGTCATGGGTGGTCATTCTAACTGGTGAGCCAATAACTGTGAGCATAGTAAACATATAAAAATGTGGGTGGAATCTAATCACTGAATACCAGGAAGAAGTGGGTCACTGAGCTTGCAACCAGTAAGTAACCAAGTCAATAACGTCATGTGTAATTTTATCACTATTTTGACTATTATTTTTTATTGATTTATTTAGTAGTAGGCACTGTAGAAGTAAGCTCTGGACTTGAAAGCAGTGTTGTACATGATTACACACAACACAAGAATATGTTGTGAAATGGAAGTAGTTGAGCTGGATCTGGTTTTAAGGGCAGCATGCACAAATGGGGTTTATGACTACTTTTGCAGCCAATTCTGCCACAGACACACATTTAGGGTTAGCCCAGTGCTAAAAGTAGACTTCCAAGTAGCTCAGGGTAGGATTCCCAACAAGAAAAAAAAAAGCTGGGCATGACAAATTCCGCACTGGAACATGCCTGTGAAATGAGGGGCCTGCTGGTTTTTTTCTCTTTTATTTATTTGTTTCATTTCATTACCAACCTACTCACTCAGGCTCTCTCTCTCTCTGGGGCCTTACAGCTCATGAGACTCACATGATTTGATGCAGTGGATGTACACAAAGGGCTCATCATCATTCACCTCCTGAAAGCAACAATCCTGTTTCACACCCCCCGCCCCCTTTTAAGTCTACTAAAACAATGGGGCCAAGCCAGCCCAGCCTAGTCAGCAAGTTAATGGAATCCGCCCCCAGTTACACCCATTGGTAGGGCAGTTCAAGGGGCAGGCAAGGAAAAAAAAGAGAGTAAAAAGTAAAAAGTGCCCTCCCTCCCCCACAATTGTGACCAAAGCCAATGAAAGGAAAAAGAAAAAGGAAAGGTAAAGGAAAAGAAGTGAAGATCAAGCTTGCTTCGGGGGCTGGCAGGGTGAGAGACAGCCAATAGAGGGGGACCAAACGAGGACGGACGGCATCGATGAGGGGGGGGCAGCGTTAGGTATATACGCATAAAAAGGGGCAAGCCAAATAATG